CACAGTAAAAAAAAAAAAAAAAAAAAGTTTGTCTGATCATATTTTTGACAAAATTTTTAATTAAATATGTAGAATAACATGATTTTAATGAACGATGGTGACTTTAAGCTCAGATCTGGTTAGTTTTTCTGATGGATGATGTGTTCAAAAAGTTAAAAACATTCTTTATTCTGCTTCTGGGTGATAAATGGTGTCATTTGGGTGATTTTAGTTTCTTGTAACAGCTTTTTAAGATATAATCAACAACATTTTAGTCTTGTTCAGCTCCTCTGACATGTTACTGCCTTCGTCACCGTCGGTACCAACTTGACGGGTCAGCGATTCTGGAGGCGAAGTTCTTGCTGAGAGAGAAAATCCTGCAGGAGGGTTTAAATGTGAATCGTGGTGTTTGTCATTAAAGACTCACCTCAGACTGACAGTCATGAGTTCAGCATTTAGAGGCTCCGGCTTTATTAAAACGACACGATAGTGAATCAGCCGGCGGAGCTGCAACGTCAGAAAAACGTACGTTTAAACAGGGAAACAATATTTATTTAATACAATGTTGGATTACATTTCACCCACTTGGAGATAATATAATATAATATAATATAATATAATATAATATAATATAATATAGGGCTGCAGTTGGTAGCACTGTTGCCTCGTAGCAAGAAGGTTGCCGGTTCGCGTCCCGGTGGGGACACCGGAATCTTTCTGCGTGGAGTCTCCATGTTCTCCCCGTGCAGCGTGGGTTCTCTCTTCCTCCCACACAGTCCAAAAACATGTTGAGGTTAATTGGTGATTCTAAATTGTCCATAGGTGTGAATGTGAGTGTGCTTGGTTGTCTGTCTCTAAGTGTGGCCCTGTGATAGACTGGTGACCTGTCCAGGGTGTCCCCTGTCTTCGCCCTAAGTCGGCTGGGATAGGCTCCAGCCCCCCCGCGACCCTAGTGAGGATTAAATGGTGTATAGAAAATGGATGGATAATATAATATTGATTAATCAAATTCTGTGGATGTTTCTATAGATGCTGATAAATTTGTTTACAACCACCAACATTGTAAAGAACAGATAAAATAAACGACTGAATTTTAAATCAAACAGCGAAAACAAATGAATCTATTTTAAATGACGTTCAATGATCCAAACTGTTGAACGCAGCAAACGACCTGTAACGTTACTGATCTCTTCGCAGCAAACCGCCCGTGTTAGCGTTTACAAATACTAGCTTAGCATTGTTAGTGCTAGCCTCAGGTAGCTGCTAAAACAGACACAGTTTTACAACCTGATGCTTGACGTTTGTCCAAAGTGAGTTTGAATCGTTGAAAATGACAAAACGAACGTTGGTTTTGACAAAAACGAGTAAGAGAAAGAAAGATTGGTCGAGTTTTCTCCAGTTTTTCCAGCATTTTAACAAACTTCAGCTGATCTTTTTGGTTTGTAGTTTTTTAAATCAGAAGATAGGAGATGAGGAGACACGGAGAGAAAAGACAAGGGAAGAAAGAGGAGTCTAGGAGAGAAGAGATAGGTGTCAAGGAAACAAGGAGATACAAGATGAGGAAAGGAGACAAGGAGATCAGGAGAGAGTTCATCTGAAAACTAAGGGAAGAGGAGACAAGGAGGTAGGGGATAGGAGAAAAGGAGTAAAGAGATGAAGAGAGAGGAAACAAGGAGACAAGGAGATGAAAAGAGAAAGGAAAGGAAACAAGGACACAATGAGAAAAAGAACACAAAGAAAGAGGAGTCAAGGAGAGAAGAGATAGGTGTCAAGGAAACAGGAAACGGGGAGAGACAAGATGAGGAAAGAGGAGACAAGGAGATAGGAGTCAAGGGAAGAGGAGATGAGGAGATGAAAAGTTAATAGGAGACAGAGACACGAGTCGGGGAGAGAGGAGAGAGTCCATCTGAAAACTAAGGAAAGAGGAAACAAGGAGAAAAAAAGAGAGGGGAGAGGAAATGAGGAGACAAGGAAAAGGGGAGATGAAAAGAGTAAAGTAAAAGAGAAAAGCAAACGGGAGACAAAAAAAAGAATGTGAGCAGGGAAAAGGAGAGGATAAAGGAAAAAAGGTGACAAGGAAACAAGAGCAGAAGAGAGGAGACATGGACAAAGGAGAGAGAATGTAGGAGACAAGAAAAGAGGAGAGGAGGAAAGAGGAAACAAGGAGACGAGGAGATGTGAGAAGAGATACGGAAATAAGAGAAAGGAGACAAGGAGGAAAAAGGGCAGAGGAGACGAGTGGAGGAGTTGAGAGGAACGAGGGAGCGAGGAGGCTTCAGAGTTTCTGTTTCTGCAGCAGCTCAGTCCCAGGAATGCAGCACATGACCTGCAGCAGCGTCGCATAACCCGCATGTTTTCCATCTCCGAGGGGGGAGGGGCTGCGCTGTGTCTGATTTTATCGTCTCTGCAGCTTCGCTTCGTGTTTTCAGCCGCTGACAATCAAACTTTATCATTAAAGTTTGCCTCTTTGTCTTTGTGTCGACTTCAAACTGGATCATTTGACCCTGAAGTCGCTTCAGTTTCAGGGAACTTTCTGATCTTTAAATCTAAATCAAACATCCTAAAGTCTGCAGTAGTTCTGGTTGAACTCAGATTAAGTTCAGTCCAACGAAGATCTGAAACCTGATCCTGTTCAAACACGTTGTGACTCATCAGCTGATCGATCACCACCGATCACTGAGGATCAATAATGAAACCGGCAGTCACACTGTTTCTGTCAGAGCAGCTGCAGAGAGTTTAAAGTCCATCTGAACGTTTTACCGCTTCGGCTTCACGACGTGCAGAACAACAAATCAATCACAACTTTATTAACAAAAACAAAACGCTCTGTTCTTAGAGTCCCGACTTCACGTTTTTTACTCTGATTCAAGGCTTCTTGGACACACTGAGCTTTTATTTTAAGGAAACACAGCATCAGTTGTTCGGCTGCCATCAGGGTTAAAAATTAAAATGATCGACTGTGAAATTGGCATTTAAATGGTCTGCTCCTTGGAAACAGCCCATGTAGATAAAATCTGACAGTAGAACGCATTATTTCCAAACCAGATGGCTCAAAACCCACCCAAAAATACTCAAAACCCACCCAAAAATACTCAAAACATGCCCAAAAGGACTTAAAGCTTTTCCAAAATAACTCAAAATCTGATTAAACTTACTATAAACTTATTTGAAAGGTCCTGACATCGTCCAAAATGACCTAAAAATCTGACCAATGGACTCAAAATGTGTCCAGAAATACTGAAAACTTGTCAAAAAATACCTAAATTACTCTTAACTTGTCCAAAATGACTCAAAATGTTTCCATCACGACTGATATTGTGTCCAAAACGACACTACATTGGGGGAAAACATGGTTCTAAACTCTCCCACAATGGTTAGAAAATGCGTCCGACACAAGTCGGTGATATAAAATCTGATCAAAATGTCATGAAAAACTTTTGCAAAATGACTAAAATGACCTAAAATCTGAGCAGAAATACTCATAACCTGTCCAAATAACTTAAAGCTTTTCCAAAATGACCCAAAATCTCATCAAATGATTAAATCTTGCCCAAATTACTTAAAAATTTGACCAAGCTGACTCAGATGTGTCCAAAAAATATTCAACACTTGTCAAAAAAAGACTTTTTAGTTGATCCCAAATGATGTACAATCTGAAATTACTCTAATTTTGTCCCAAGTGATTTAAAACCTGTCCAAAACGACACTACGTTGGGAAAACATGGTTCTAAACTTTTCCACGATGGTTAAAAATGTGTCCGACACAAGTCAATGCTGCACAAAATGACATAAAATCTGATCAGAATGTGTGAAAAACTTTTGCAAAAGGACTTGAAGCGTCTCTAAAATGACCTGAAACCGGAGCAGAATGACTCTGAACTGGTCCAGAGTGACGCTACAGTCGTCCAGATCCAGTCATGTAAGCCGTCTGCTGAACATTCTGGATGTTTTCAGTGTCTGCTGCAGAAGAATATCAGCTTCTCTTCCATTATCTGCGGCTCTGATTTGAAGTCTTTTGAAGTGCAGCAGGTCTGAGATCAGAGTTTCTGTTCACTTCATCAGGACAATTAAATCCATGTGTGGCTTTTATCTGCAGCTTCTGATCCTCGGACCACAGTCGGAGATACCGGGCCGCTCTCAGACAATGCTCGTCCTGACTCAGAGTTCGCTGTTCGTCAGAGCCGATGAGTCCGACTGTGGTGAGCTTTCGTCTGATCCGAGGACGGAAAAGCAGCGAAATCAGCCCGTTTTTGTGTTTTCACAAAGTCTTACTGACATAATCGTTTAGTTTCAGAGTCTGGTTTGGTTTCTAAGCAGCTGATTTTTCACCAGAAAGATTCTGGTTCTGGAACTGGTTATTGTTGTAAGATGTGTCACCAAACATGTTGCAGATATTTGTGATTCAGTTGAAGATGATGAAGTGACATGACGATGATAATGATGATGATGATGAGGTGTGATAAATGAGATTGTCCCATAAGACAGGATAATGTGCTGCAAGATGAGATGATGATGTGAGATACGAGATGAGATGAAGTAATGAGATGAGATGTGATGAGATGATACAAGATGAAGTGGTAAAGACATGAAATGTTATGGGATGAAAAGAGACGAGATGATCGATGATGAAATGAAACAATGCAAGATGAGATTGTGAAGAGATGAAAAGAGATGATGCAAGATTAAATGATGAAAAGATGATATGCGATAAAGCGAGATAAAATAATGATGTTACTGATAAAATGATATGAGATGCTACGAGATAAGATGTGATGAGATGATACAGGATGAGACAGGATGAGATGAAATGATCTATGATGATGATGAAAAGAGAAAATAAGAGATGAAATGAAGAGATGAGATGGAATGAGGCGAGATAAGATGATGACATTTATTTTGATGCTGAAATGAGGCATTATGAGATGATTCAAGATACAATAGTGAAGTGATGACATGAGATAACGTGTGATGAGATGATTACAAGATAAAATAATGTACTTTCTCTCTGTTTGGTCCATCAGAACTGTCTGAGGAGGAGGGACGCTGGTCTCATCACTCAGCTGCAGGAACTGGACCGACAGATCAGTGACCTGCGATTGGACACCGAGGCATCACATGACCAGCTGGAGACGGACAGCCGACCGAGCTCAGGTACCAGAAACTTTATATAACATCAGACAGTTTCCCCGGAGGTTGACTTTAATGAAGAAATACCAACTGAAGTGTGTGAAAGTCAGATTGTAGGTCAGCATTAGCCGATGTATAGAAAACGGTGTCGTCTGCATACAGTGTGATCTTTGCAGCTTTTATTATGTTAGAAATCAGAAAAACAAAACAGAACCTTGTCCTTAAAAACTGCCAGCTGCTTGAAGGTCTGTCTATCATTTAATATCTGCATTTATTCATATTTTACTGGGTTTGCTGGTTTCCTCTGAGAGCAGGAATCTGCCAGATTTTTCTTGAGTTGTTTGAAGAAAAGATGATTCAAAGCTTTTCATCAAAAACAAACAAGCTGAAGCTCTAAAACTGATTGGAAACCAGTTTCTACCAGAGAAACAAACAAAGAAATGCAGTCAGGATGAAAATGATCACATAAAAAGTAAAAACTATGAGATAAAGTCAGCAATTATGAGATTCAAATGAAAGATTTGGATGGAAAAGTGAAAATTCTGTAAAATCTTTGACACAAAAAAAGCTCAAAACTTTTGAGGTAAAAGTCCAACATTTAAAAAAAAAAAAAGAAAAAATCTGAGATAATGGTTGATTTTTTTGACAGAATCATACATTGGTTAAAAAAAAATGTAGGGGCTTTTTAGCCAAACAGTTCAGAGTTCAAGTTTAGCTTCAGCATATTTGTGCCCAACAGTTAACAGGATCAATGAAGACGATTCTGCAGGTTTCAATCAGACCTGCTCACCTGTCCACTTCCTGTCTCAGGTTTCTACGAGCTGAGTGACGCCGCGTCTGGTTCGCTGTCCAACTCGTCCAACTCGGTCTTCAGCGAGTGTTTCTGCTCAACGGCCGACTCCGACGGACGCCTCCCGTCCACAGGTACGTCCCAACACCCCTGGACAGCAGGAAGCCCCGTCCACAGAGAAGCACCTGAGTGGCATGGCACCACTCCATCTGCTGGTCAGGTGTTTCTCTGAGGGTGGCCTTCAAAATAAAAGTTTAACCCAGACCCGGAAGTGCTTTTACTATGAATTACTTCAAAATAAAAGCAGATCATCTGTGATAACTGTTAAAAGGCACAAAAACATCCACATGTCCATTTAAACATGGAAACAGGATTTGTCTTGCAAAAGCCGACAGAATATTCAGTAAACATATTTCAGGTTTAAAGTCCTGATTTATCAAACGTTTTATGTGCAGCTGACATTTTCTCCACAGTTTTATTTTATTTACTTATTCCTGTTTTTAGTTTCACATTTTTTTTCTCCACTTACTTTCATTTGCCATCATTCACGTGTTTTAATTTCTAACCTTTTTTAATAGATTTTTATTTCCTAAACATTTATTCTCAAAGCAGAAGTCACATATTTATTAATTCCTTTTAATTGTCAGTGTATTTTTTTCTTATTTATAAAATGTTTAATTACATATATATATATATATTTATGTTTATTAAATGTGTTGTTCTGACGGATTGAAATATCCTCCGTTAATCATTAAATAGCCAAAATACACGTTTTATTTATTTAATATTAAAGATAGAAAATGTTTTTTCTTGTATGTAAATCAGTTTTCTTCGTTTAGATGTTCATTTGACTGTGTTGTTGTTTAGCTACCGACACAAACCGCTGGATCTGGTGACTCAGTTCAGGTCCTGAACGTTCCCTCAGGAACATGGAAACAGAGGAACACGAAGTTCTAGAGCTGCTGAAAATATTTACGATGAGTCTGAGCTCCGTCGTCGCTGATGTTTTTCCTGCTGTGACATGTCAGAATATCTGCTCAGCTTCATATCTGGTTTATTTCTGTCTGCTCATTTACACGATCCTCCCCTCGGGGCTTTATTTACACAGCGGACAGGAAACCTAATTATTAAACTGAAATGAAAACCAAGCAGGCTGCGGGCTGTTCTGCAGCAGCAGCTGATGGCTTTTATCAGAGAAATGTTCAGCGTCTGACGGCGTTTTGAGTTGGAGCGCAGCGTCGTTTCACTGCAGCTGCAGCCTGAAGCCCTGCAGCCGTCGCAGCTTTACGATCCTCCGAGTTTAAATAAATCTTCTCTGCTGAGAAACAGAGCTGCAGGTTAGAGGTCAGCGAGGAGTTTGTTCTGATGCAGACAGAGGCCGCCGACAAGAAGCAAAACTAATGTTCTGGTTTCTCCCTTCCTTCATATAGTCGTTCATTCTGTACGTTTTTAAGTCATTTTTAACAGTTTTTAAATCTTTCTGGACTTTTTTTTTTGTCATTTTGGACCAATTTCAAGTCATTTGAGACATTTTTGTGGTTGTTTTATATAAATTCTAAGTGATTCAGGATGTTTTGGTCGATTTACACTAATTTTAGGTCATTTTAGACGTCAGAGTGTGAAGTTAAGCCGACACTGTAAAGACACCACCAACATAAACCAATGCATGTTCTTCTTTTTGATTCCTGCTTTCTTTCAGCTGTTTTTTTGTGCACATAAAGGCTCTGCTTGAGTTTGAGTAGTTTTGCACAAGTCTTTAAGTTATTTTGGATTTTTTTTTTCGACTTTGGATAACTTTTGAATCATTCTAGAAACAGTTTGAATAATTTTCGATGACTCTTAAATTGTTCAGGAGTCATTTTGGAAAAATCTCAAAGTAGATAAATAGAGTAAATCCATAAACATGTGCAGTTGTTCACTAATAGATATCTTTTCAATGCCTTTGATATTTATGACTGACTTTGTTGGCGACATACGAGTAAACGAGCAGCTTTAGTTGAAGTCGAAGCTTCTTTTCACAGAGTTCAGGTTCTGGTCGTCCTTCCAGGACCTCAGACAGACTCTGAACTGTTTCCTCTTTCAGCACAAACATTCTGCATGTCAACAGAACGATCTGCTGGTCCCAGTCCATGTTTGTTTTGGTTCCAGAACATGTGATTCTCGGAGGACTTGTGGGGCCGTTTTGACTTCCAGGACTTCCATCTGTGCAGTTACTTGTTGGTGTGTTTGCTCTGCAGCCGTTCTGCTGTGTGTCCGGTGTGTTTCCAGCACTGAACTGAGTCCAGGAAAAATTCTGCTGAGCTGGACACAAACTGAGCCTCTAATCCTGCAGAGCCTCACAGAGCAACATCTGTGTGGGTTTTCTGCTCGGCTCTGACATGTGCATCATTTCATTTCCATCCAGGGACGCGGTGGACATGGAGGGTTAACATTTCACAGCGCTCTGTCTCCACTGAAAAGAATTTTCCACTTACTAATGGCTGAGCGCTCCGTCCACTGCAGAACCAAACAGAGTCATTAGCACAGTCAGCAGAGCATTTCATCAGACTGCTGCCTGGAAACAGCTGTGGTCAGAGTGTCGGCCGCTGACGTCAGGAAACATGAAATAAACTCTGATCCGTTCTCCCTGTGTGTGTGTTGGAAGCTGTTTAAAATAGCAGCTGTGTCTGGTTCTGCTAACATCGCCTCTCTCTGTCTGCAGATGAGCGGTCCGGCTGTTTGGAGTGCGACGAGCTGCTCGGAGGACTCTGCGATGATTCGTCCTCCTTGGCTACAGTCCGCCGCTCGCTGTCGGCTCCTCACCCGCCCACCGTGGACGTTGACGCCCAGTCTAAGTACCACTGCGACCTGGTGGCCCGAAATGGCAGCGATGTCTACCGCTACCCGAGCCCGCTGCACGCCGTGGCAGTGCAAAGCCCGGCCTTCCTGCAGGTGCTGGGTCACGGCAGAGACGAGGCTGGAGGTGACGGCCTGAAAACAGAAGCCTCCCCTCCTGCTCCGGTTTCAGCCCCTCCGGTGCCACAGAGCTCCTCCTGGCCCGCCTCCTTCTCCTCCTCCCAGAACCCTCCCCTGAAGCGACTGGACAGCTACATCTTCAGCCTGCTGCAGCGACGGGCCCAACCCGTCAGAACCAGCCGGCCCCGGACCAGTATCAGCACCGACCCCTCGAAGAGCATCCTGAGGCAGGCCAGTCTCTGCATGAGGCAGACGTCTAATTCTGGTTCTGGTTCTGGTTTAGGGTCTGACCTGAAACCTTGCTGGCCGGCTGCAGGAGCATCAGCAGACTTTGCTGCTTCGTCTCCTCAGAGGTCTGTGGAAGTTAAAGGTGACAATCAGGAGACTCTGAGTGCTGACGTGATGCCAAACGGCTTCCAGATCAGCAGCAGCGATGTTGCATCTCCCCGCATCAACAACGACATGAACACAAGCAGCCTCCTGAGGAAGAAGAGCAAAGGCCTTGTTCCTCACCCAGCAGCGTCCACCGCAACGCTGCCGAAGGACTTCAGGGGACTGGGCACGCCCAGAGCTAGCTCGGCCCCCAAGCAACCATGTTGCCCCCCGGCACAGGAGCATCTCCCTCCAATCATTAAAACCCAGACAGGTACTCCGAAGAACAGCCCCAAACCGGAGACGGGTGAGCGGTTGGTGCCGGAGCTCGCCAGTCTGGGCTCCTCCTCCCAGAGTCAGGATGAGGCGGGAGGGAGTCACATGGTCAACGGCAGGTACGTCCCTGCCCAGCAGGAAGCCGTCAAGGTCCGCAAAGGCGGCAGCAAGAACGTAAAGACTGTCAAGGTGAAGACAAGTCGGGCGTCTGAACGCAGTGAGCCGCCGTCAGAGAGAAAAGTTGATAAATCCCAGCGCTCTAAAAAGCCCCGCCTCCTGGACGACGGAGGTGTCGCCCCCATCAGGGTGTCCAAGAAAGGTGCTTCGTCCAGAATGAAACGGCTTCCTGCCTCCATCCCAGAAGGCCGAGTCCTGGACAAGCATACCAGCAGCGTGCGATCAGGTGCATCCAAGCACCATCACCATGGACACCACCATCACCACAGCAGCAACCACCACCATCATCACCACGGACGTGATCAGGTCGTGGTTGTCGCTAAGCCGAAGCACAAGCGGAACGATTACCGGCGGTTGCGTGCAATCATGGAGATGCCATACGACGAGGCGTTCAGGCGCGCTCAGCGGCGGCAAAGGAAGGAGCTGCTGAGTATCTCTGCCGCCAACGGTTACCCCGCGTCCTCCGAGGCGCCGCTGAGCAGCCCGTACGCTTACATCGCAGGAAGCGACTCGGAGTATTCAGCCGAGTGCGCGTCGCTGTTTCACTCCACCATAGTGGACACCAGCGAGGATGAGCGGTCTAACTACACCACGAACTGCTTCGGAGACAGCGAGTCCAGTGAGGAGGAGGAGGTGGAGGAGAGCACCACCACCAGCGACACTGAGGAGAGCGGCGGTGGCGGGATGGGCAGGGGCCGAGGGCAGTCGAGGGCAGCTGGGGTCAGGGCGGCGGGGCAGGAGGCGACTCAGGCGAAGGCCTTCGTCAAGATCAAGGCGTCTCACAACCTAAAGAAGAAGATTCTGAGGTTCAGGTCGGGGTCGCTGAAGCTCATGACCACCGTGTGACATGTCAGGTGCCTTAAACCCTCACTGCCGGTGCACCTGAACCAAGAACACTCTTCTGTGTTGACATTTCAACCGAACTTCTCGAGCTCGAACCACAAATTCAAACCGGTCATCCACGTTTTCAAGGCTCAACAAGAAAACAAACTCACCTGATGGAACCTCTCAGTGTCTTCAGCTTTCACCCAGGAGGTCTTCAAACAGCAGTCGAGTCCATCTGAACCACCCAGTGCTGGGTTTTCTTCCTCACTGTGATGTTTAAATGCTCAAAACCAAATTTCTAAATTTACCTGAATGTGAATCAGTTTTAATTTTCAATTTGTAAAACTAAGGACGTAACTTAACCCCAACCAGTCTCTGCATGTTGTCTTTTATTTTTATGAGTCCTGCACCTCAATCCACATACTGTAGATACTATAGGTATTTAGCTATTCACATTCTCCAAAGTCTACCTTCTTCTCTGCTCTGCTCATCAGACGTAGAAAGATGTTCCACCATCAGCTGAATGGATCTTACAACAACCTACTCCTCTGTATACTGTTTTTGAGTCATTTACTTTATTGATCCAGTCTGTTTTATTCTTCTTTCTGTTCTGAGAAAACACTGCCTGCAGTTCACCTGAACACTGAATTTTTGAAAGTTCAACTTTTTTTAATTTAATTTTTTAAGTTCCTGTCTGATAAATGTAAATATTTCAATAGTTTGGTCCTTCTTGGGGTTCACAGAGTTGAAGCTCAAACAGCACTGGGTTGTTCACCTGGACCTTCACTTTGAAGGTTCTGTATTAATACTCTGAAGTTCCAATGCCCCAAACCCAGTTCAGCTTGAACGAGTCAACATGGCTGCCTGAACAGTATCATTGATCACTTTGTTTTTAAATCAGTGGTTTCATCCAAATGCATCAAAGTGTATCTCTGAGATTCCCACAAACGGAGCATAAGATGCGTTTTGTATAGATGGGAAAGTCTGGACTTTAGGTTTAGCCAATCAAATTGGCATCCTTCACGTCCCTCTTTCTTTCCTGGTCATCAAGTGCCTCGGCCAACAGACCCAGAAACAGTCTGCTTCAAACAAACGTTGTCCAACAAAGTGTCGCAGCGTCTTCCTGAATCAGGGCGAATAAACCTCCTGAAGGACTACAGGCCACAGATTTGTCCCTGCTGACCAGAAACCAAGTGGAACTCCATCCATCCATCCAGTGACTGAATAGCTGATTAAATGAGTCGTTCTTAACAGTTCTCTGGCAACAGTTTGTCCAATGTGAACATCTGCCAGTTTCCTAGCTCTCTGTGATAGAACGTTTCTGACCAAAGCTTTTTGTATGTGTTAATCTGAGGACAAGCACCAGGTCCCTCTGCAAGACTAGAACCACAAGACGGATCAAACTCAGTGATGCAAATTCCAAATAAATTTGCAAGTAACCAAATTAGCTAGACCCAAATGGTGTTGTTGTTTGTAAACCACCTTAGTCCTTGCTGCATCCTGCCGCCTCCTTCGTTGTGGTAATAGGCAACACTGAAGCACCTTCCAAAACCAAACGCTCCAAGGTGGCTTCTTCATTTCAAATGTACTCGCTCACGTCTTTAAACAAATGTGTGCGTTCAGAATCACAAGCTACCCCGTCTGCTGTACAGCAAACTGGGCTCGGCAGGAACTGTTGGTTTCTGAGAAGCTTTGCAAAACGAGCATCTGGTTTTGTATCTCAACGTGGATCTGCGGACAGTTCAAGACTCGCCTGTGTTCACACCTCAGTTGTTGTGAATCCGCCCTCAGAAAGGAGGTTTCAGACACTGCTGCCCAACGTTTGCTTGAAGCACACTGGGGCTTCTCGTGTTGCTGTTGGACCCTCTGGTCTCTGGTAGAACTGGTCTCTGGTTTGTTTCTTTATGCAGAAGCTGTCTGAGATGTTTCTGGATCCGTGTTTCCACTAAGAGTCCCAGAACTTTTTATTTCCGGGGATTAAAAGGTGTCTTTCCACTGCAGGAACTCAGCGTGATCTGACGTAAACGTTTACAGGAGTGTCCTGTCATCAGCCCTTCTGGTTCCAACAACTTTGAATGCAACATTGACTCCAAGTGCACCAAAACAGCAACACATAGCAGCAACATAACTGCTGAAAACTGAGCTGAAGGAGGTTCAGTTGCTGCAGTCAGAAGGTCCAAGTTGCCATAAAATAGCCCACGAGTTCCTGCAGTGGAGAACAACTTAACGTCCAGAACTCTACAAGGTGCTAAAGGTTCCTTTGGTTTGTGTTATCTTCATGATCTGAAGCCTTGTGATGATGTGGCAAATTAGTTGTAGACCCTCAAATTCCTGTGTAATCTTCAAGGCCTGGACTTCAGTCGGCTAATCAGATGATTTCTTCTGCAGCTCCATGTTGGTGTGTCAAAGCTCAGTGAGCCAAAACCAAATAAACCTGTTTGCAGCTGCAGGTTTTTAAAAATGTTGATTGTTATGCTGGAGAACCACGACAGTGTTCGACTAAACTGAAAGTTCCTTAAACGTTCCTCTGGTGGCGCTGTGTTTGGTTCCTTCGATGGGAGCGCTGGTTCCTCGGGTGGTTGTTTGTCCACAGTGGAAGCTCCCGTGATGGATCGGCTGGAGTCGGTCGGAGGGTTTGGGTCGGATCTCGCTGCAGTAATGGTTTTTTATTTCCTGCACTTTGAGACAAAGCGACAGGACGGACGCTGTTGATCTGTTGTTTGTATGTAGCCTTACTTTGTATTTATTATCACTTTGCCCTTTGCTGTTTCCCAGCACGCCAAACACGTGTACATGCTTCTCTTTTTTTTTTTTTAGACTGTCCTGATTTAAGTTGTTATTTTTGATGAAAGCTATTTAAAACCTAATATATTTGCTTGGTACATATAGAAACCACACATGGTACTAACTGAGGCCGACTGGTCTTCACCTGCCGTTTGTTCACACAAGTATGACATGTTGTCTTTTTTAATACTGTTGCACCATTTATACAGCATTTAGATGTTTCAACTTTTGGTACAATTTGCCTCCTACTTTATGATCAGTGACCTGTCTCTCCATTTTCAAAATTAGAAATGCAGCCGATGGTTTTGTTCGTTTCGACCAGGACGGATGCAGCATGAACACATTCGCTAAACGCGGTTGAAACTTTGGCAAAGTGCAGTCTGGATGTGTAAAATCCACCAACCGAGCTCAGTGCGGTTCTGTGTTTACCTTAAATCATTTAAGAAGGAGTCCAAGAGTTGGTAAAATTCAAATTATGTTTCTTCTCTAATTAGTGGTATCAGATGGGTATCAGCTCGGTCTCGTCCGGGACACTAAGACTGTAGGTCAAAGACATGTCTAGCATGTCTTAGCACAGATTCTGGAAGTGAGTTGAAACTGCTGAGCAGCAAAACAGCTGGCCGGCCAACGTTAGGTGTTAATGTCTTTTGTTAGATGTGTACAGCTACATATACGATCTACAGGTTGTTCACGTACGACATCTTAACTCAACCAAATATCATGAAGCGTTTTTACTGAAAAGATAAAGAAACTGATTGATGGACACCCGTATCAGCTCAGCCTAGTTTGGCTTTAAAGCTTTAACCAGGAGGCAAAGTGTTGGGGTTATACTTACTTGTTAGCATATAGCACCAGCAGCGTACAGACAGTGAGAATATGAAATGTAAGCTAGCTATGTCTAGCTAACTGCTGTGGTACCAGGATGTGTTTGGTCAAGAAGAATGGAAACAAGGGAAACTGAAATGATAAAGAAATTTGTGTCGGGTCCAGGATGTGTTTGGATTAATTTAGGTGAAAGCAGGGACCAAGTGTTGGTGTAATTCTAGCTAGTTAGCATATAGCACCAGCTAATATGGGCAGTTAGCATGTTAAATAGTATAGTTGTTGTTACTAGCGAACTCTTGTTACAGCAGGATGATGTTAGCTTAGATCAGCAAAGAGACTGGAGATGAAGCAAAGCTAATGGCTTAGCTTCACTGAACATAATGAGTTTTTGCTGAAAAGAAAAAGAAAAGAGAAGCTCAGGACGTCCAGAGATTACCTTTGAGAAACGTCTGGCAGAACCAGGCTTAAGGAGGCCTGATGTCTGCCTCAACTGGTTAGGGTGACGGGAGAGAGGAAAGAATGGTAGAGACAAAACAGACTTTTGTTGTGTTACTAGGTTGTCTTTAGCCTTGTTAGCTGAAAGCTAAAGCTAACTAGCTGATGTTGTTATGGGAGTAAAAGCTAATCTGGTGCAAACTGATGCTGTATGTTTGGTTCAGCTTAGCTGGATGAAATTCCAGCCTAGCTCCAAAGTTTGTCAGCATGCAAACATGTCGACTCTCGAAGCTAACACAAGTTAGAATTTGGGCTTTTGGAAGTCAATTAAACTATCATTGAACTGTCAGAACACAATTTGTGCACTAAAGTTAGCATCAGTTTGCTAGCTGTTGCTAACTTTTTTAACCTGTGCTTCCACTCTTTGTGTTAAGCTAGGCTAAATCTGGCCTCGGCCTGCTTTGCCTCTGGTCTGGACACCGGTCTGATATCCATCTTCTGATTCTAGGACGACACTAAACGAGAGAATTTCACTGAATGTGAGGATTTTACATTTAAACTGCAGATGTTCTCGTTGGTACTTAACGAACCGCCTTAACTTTACAGTTCTGTGGAAACTCTTTGAATTCATTGTTCTCGTCTATTCTGGGCTGAGTTTACACATTCCTGATATAAATAGATCCCGTGAAGCTTTAAAAAGCCACAGAAAGCTCCTTCACAGCTGTCGCATGCCGCCTTTCCGTTGAGCTATTTTTAATTTTGTCTGACTTTGAGCTTTTTTTCGGGCGCCGACACAGTTTGCATTAAAATCCGAGACTCGGTTCTGAGTGTTAAACGGCCACCAACCTATAAACCCAAAGTAAGACTTGACTCCTCCTAAGGTTGAACCACCGACGCTGATCCGACTCTGTAAATGTTCACATATGCAACTATAGCTGACTGTTACTGACCTGTGTGTATATATCACGTCTGTGTATGCCAATAACGGTGCTTAACCTTTTTATGCTTCATTAAATGTGGACTTTAACATATAATGTGTCATTGTTCTGGGCTCGTGTTTCCTCTGACCTGAAATCCTGGATCCAGACCACAGCCTGGAGCCGGCCTGGTTTGTCCCAGTTGGCCTTCCTGCTGCTCCATCACAAGCTCTCAGTGTTTCTGTGTTAAGCTGCTTCACGCTTCTGACCTCTGCATGAAATCTCTTCATGCACATTTCTCACGGCTCCGTCAGAGTCTGATCTGTCTGCGAAGTATGCAGCCAGGCCAGCAGCACGGCTAACCGACGGCTAACCGATGGTTTGATTCGATTAAACAGGACAAAGTCTGCAGTGAGCAAGCTGCTCGTGTCTGAGAGGACGAACACTGGGAAGCAAAACATCCCCCAATGCGGCGCTCAAATGGGTGAAGCAGCCGCCAAGACTAATACATAGGTCGTTAACACAGTGGATTAAAGTGGATTCTTTTTTTTCTTTTTTTTTTTTAATCTATTGTATTCTTTTACGCGCCACTGTCTTGTGCTGCTGCAATGCCTGAATTTTCCCTGTAAAGAGTTAGGCTAAAGAAAGAAATGGCTAAAATAATGGATTACATACAAAACTAAAAGTAATAAGCAACTACAAAAATGGATTCAGTATCCAAAAATAATGAACAGCTAAAATAATGGATTAAAGAGTTAGCTGAAAGTAACAACTAGATTTAAAAAAAAAATAAATAAATTAGCAAGTTAGCTAAAAGCAACAAAAAGCTAGCTAAAATATTTGTTTAGTTTGCTCAAAGCAACAATACCGATCTAAAATAATTGCTTCGTTGCAAGCAATTAATAGCTATCTAGTTAGCTAAAAGCAACAAATAGCTAAAATAATGGATTACATTATTAGCTAAAGGTAGCAAACAGAAGAAGGCACTAAATAGCTAGCTGAGAAACTTTGTTATCTTAAAGCAATAAATTGCTAGCTATAATTAATGAATTTGTTAGCTAAAAGTAGTAAATAGTTGCAATTAAAGATTAGTTAAAAGTGATAGATATCTAATGTATATAGTTGACTAAAGCAAGAAAACACCAAAATAGCGCACTAAATTGTTGGCTAAAAGTAATAACTAGCTAAAATATTGTGAGCAGTAGTTGGCTAAAAGCAATAAATAATTAGCTAACAACATCTATTAGTTAGCTAAAAGCAATAAATGGTTTGCTAAAATAAATATTAGTTAGCTAAAAACAATACATAGCTAAAGTGATTTATTAAACAGTTAACTAATACAGTCATAGCTTTAATAATTGGTTAGTTGACTAAAAGTAATAGTGACCTTAAATGATCGATCAGTTAACTAATAATAAGAATTTAAAAAATGCTCATTATAATGATGTATTTCTTAGCTAAAATTAGTAAATAGCTAGCAGAAGTAATTAGTTAGCCAAAAGGAATAAATTGCTATCTAAAATAATTTATATAGTTAGTAAAATAGTTAAAATAACAAATTCGATTTTTAGCTTAAAGCCATTAATGGCTAACTAAAGTAGTCACTAACTGGTTAATTGAAAGTAGTTATTTAAATGAAATCGCTTAAAGTAGTAAATAGTTGAAATAATTATTGGATGCTAAGTAACAGCTAAAATGAAACCTTAGTGATCGCTGTAGCGTGTTAGCATGTGCATTGTTCTCGTTCCATGTTATCATGTTATTTGTTGTCTCGTATCTCGCTCCGTCGTTGTGTTTCCTCCATGGGCTGTACATGTATGTGTGTGTCCGTGTCGGATGTGTGTTTGTTGTGCAGCTGCAGTAAACATGGCGGCTCTTTAACGTGTTTTATGGCTGCTGTGTTTTTGCAGAGATGACTGGTGGCTGTAATTAGCGCGACCACAAATCATGGTGTTGATGTTGGGACGGTTCAGACGGAGTTCAGCTCGACACAAACGCTGCCGCGGCACCACATCACTGCTGTTATGTAAGCCGGCGGTGACTCTGTGGATTTTAGTGAAAGTTGAAGAATTTAATCTGCGGCTGTGATCTGATTCGTCTGATGTTGACTCCAACGCTGTCGTCTCATCTCAGACTTCATCATTCAAAGGAAGCTCTTTGTTCCACTAACAGTGAACCCTCCCACGCTGTCCAAACACACTGTTCTGTCTCCACACATTCACTCCGTTTAGATTCACTTTTATTTACACAGGAGGCCAAGACAGCAGAATAATAAATATAATGCAGCTCTGTACCCACAGTCATCCTGTGGCTTTATATGGAAACGGACTGCAGCCTGTTCTGTGGATGCAACAAGCTTATATGGATGTATGCATGTCAGTAATGGTGTCATGTTATAGTGTTCTGCACATATACTACAGTATTAGTGGAATAATGTGGATGCACAGAGGTCATATGCAGGGTAAGTACAACCGTGTCCTTTGTGTATATGTAGGTATGGCATGTAGCTAGCGAGTAATCCTTTAAATGGTTAATTAAAAGTAGTAAATAGTTAGCTAAATGTAATAGCTAGCTGACACAATGACTTAAATAGTTAGCTAAAAATGGTAACTAACTAAGGTAAGTCACTGAATGCTTAGTAACAGCTAAAATATTACATATTTGACCATTCTGCTGGGTCTCATTTTGTTTTATTGAGTCCCATTTTCTATTATTGTGTGCTAAGCCATCTAAAATAATTTATTAAAAATTAATTAGCTGAAAGTGCTAAATAGAGATCCATAAAAATTGACTAGCTACCTAAAAACGATAAATAGCTAGCTAGAGTTAGTTAAAAGCAGTAAATAGTTTGCTAAAATAATAGCTAAAATAATGAATTAAGTAGTTAAAAGTAGTAAATACTAAGCTAAACGCAATAGTTAGCTGAAATAATGGCACTGAATAGTTAAAAACAGTAAATAAATAAGCTAGTCAACTGAAAGCTTAGTTCTAGCTAAAACGTGACATAGCTGACTCTTCTACTGGGTCTGATTTAGTCTTATTATGTTCTCGTGTGCGCTTTCTTGCATCTTTTCTCTTTTATTTAGTCGTTTTGTGCCCGGCGCTGTATTTTTGGGACGGCGGAGCTATTTGTTGTCTGAGATCTGATTCGGGATCTGACGGCTGCCGACCAACTGGAGCTCCAAGGACGCTGGGCTCTGAGCGGTGACCTCCTGACGTGGGTCTGGATCTGTGAATGCGGCTGGAGACACATATGGCGGTACAGATGGTCCAGCTCGCCCTGCGTGCTCTGACCGGCTTCTCGTGTCCGTCTGACTGAACCTTCGTTTCTGCATCCGGACGGCGAGTCGCTGGATGAAGCCGTCAGTCGGTTATCAGCGGGTTGTTTCTGCGCTCGCTGCAGTAATGAATGCAGCGTCGGCGAGGCGACAACCAGGTGATCTATGAGGTCTCTGCAGGGAACTGCTGACTGCTGCTGTTGCTCTGCTGAAGTTCATTTACATGCAGCCAGGGGACGAAGTGATGCTCAGCTCTGGGCCTGCACGCTGCTGCCGCTCACTTCCCTCTGCTCTGGTGTTGTTGCGTTAACGCACCGTAACGCTCACCAGGAAGGATGACGGCATGTGAATCTGTGGCCTTCAGTTCTCTGTAGAAATACAAACGTTAGAGCAGAAACGCTGAGCTGTCGGTATGTTGTGCAAAATACAACAGAAGTATCATCTGGTTAGTGAGACACAAAACGCAGCCTTAAAAATCATGAACAGAGTGCGGAAATAAAATGATTAACTAGCATCTGCATTAGCATATATAGTATATATGGAAATAGAAACTGGATCAGAACCTTGAAGATCACAGTCTGCTGGTGGGTTATCTGCAGGTTTTAAACCATCACAGCCCTTCATCTGCTGAACAGCGTGCAGTTCATTGACCTGCTGTTCTGTGCAGAGGTGAAGCAACGTCTGCTCGCAGAAATGAAGACAAATGTCCCGACTTGTCTTTAAAATGAAGACAAACGTCCTGACTTGTCTGGTTGTTGCTGCCCGTCACAGACTCGTGAGCGAGTCACTGAAGCATGCACTGTGAGGACTCGCAGACCGATTCTTTACATCGTCTCCTGGAAGGTTCCTCTGAGTCCAAATCGTCGTGTTGTTTTCACATTTGGTTGCGTTCAGGTGCTGTAGGACAGAACCGAGCGAGTCCATTAGTCATCGTCTGTCAGGTCGTCTGCTGATAGGAGCTGCATGAACCTGCATCAGCAGCCAGGAAAACAAACAGAAGAGGTTCAGATCAGTAGTTATCCATCAAAACACTGTTTAGTGTTTAAACAGCATTTATGATTAATGATGTGAGAAGTCAGAACCATGTGAGATAAAGTCCTCCTCGCTCTGACAAACATGGTTTCTGAGTAATTGAAGAGTCCTGAGAACAGTCATGAGCATACAGCTGTTACAACTGGTTAGCTATTACTTTTAGCATTAAGTTCGCTAGCCATGCTATTTATCAATAATGTACCAAACTATGTGAATTTCTCCTCTGTGATATAAATAAAGGCATATCTTATCGTATCTTATCTTATCTTATGTTATCTTATTTCAGCCATTAGCTTGATAAAGTTAGTTTTTTAAACCTATTTATCAGTTACCTTTAGCTAGCTGTTTATTGTGTTTAACTTGAACCATTCTATTTAGCTAGTTTTTGTTTTTTAAGTTATGGCTAATTGTTATTTTAGCAAGCTATTTAATAGTTTAACTCGCTAGCACCTACTTTTAGCTTGCCATTTAGTTAATTACTTTAGCTAACTAATTTCAACATTTAGCTAACATTTGTCTATTATTTTAGTGAGCTATTTGATGTTTAGATAGCCGGCTGTTACTTTAGCTCACCATTTAATTAGGTTTTTTTCTGTTTATTGTTGTGTAATAGTCTATAGTTTTAGCTAGCTAGCATTTGCTTCTAGCTATTTTTTTAGTTCGGTACTTTAGCTATTTATTTGTTTTAGCTAACTATTTTAACATTTAGTTAATAATTTATTAATTTTACCAACTATTTATTCCTGTCACCTAATTGTTTATTCAGTTGCTTTAAACGAACCATTTAATTAAGTTTTTAAGTTT